GGCGAATCTTCTGCAGTTGCAAYCGAACATGATGTAGGCTTCTCRGCAACGGCTAYGTCACCAAATRGTGATAAACGTTGRGTGTTGGATACCGGAGCCTCTTGTCACATGACACCGTTTCGTGATCATTTTTCCACCTTCGAAAAATTTGAAGGTAATARCATATATATGGGAAATGATACGTCATGTACTACTCRAGGTATTGGTACGGTTCGTATCAAGATGTTTGACGGCATTGTCCGAACGTTGTACAATGTCAAATACGTTCCGGACATGTCTCGTTCCTTGATCTCGCTTGGACTTCTRTCCAAAAATGGTTGYAAGATTCGTATTGAAGATGAGAGCATTCGTATATCTCAARGGAACTTTGTTGTTATGAAAGGCAAGCAGGCGGCAAACAATTTATTTCATTTGGTTGGCGAAACAATTTCTTTAAAATCATGTGTGGCAGAAAATACAAAGAAWGTGGATRYTACTCGTTTATGGCATCTACGATTGGGCCACACCTCGGAGAAGAATTTGGAGGTTTTGCGGAAGCGAAAGCTCATTAGGGTCAACACGCCAGCAAGCCTTGATTTTTGTGCCGGATGCGTCAAGGGGAAACAAACTCGTGTTTCTTTTGGTGTTGGAAAACACAACACCAAAGGAATCCTGGATTATGTTCATACAGATGTTTGGGGACCATCRASCACACAGTCCCTAAGTGGAGGTAGATATTTTGTATCTTTTATTGATGATTTCTCACGAAAAGTTTGGGTGTTTGTTTTGAAGCACAAATCGGATGTCTTTGAAAAATTCAAGACTTGGTTAGCACATGTGGAAGTCGAGAMCGGAAGGAARTTAAAGGTGCTTAGATCCGATAACGGTGGAGAGTTTACTAGCGGTAACCTCAAGGCATTTTGCTCGAGTAAAGGCATTCACCATCATTTCACTACACCTGGAGATCCCGAATCTAACGAGGTCGCGGAGCGGATGAATAGGACATTGTTGGAGAAAGTCCGATGTATGTTTTTGACATCGGGGCTTTCTAAGACTTTTTGGGCCGAAGCTTTGCACACCGCGGTGCACATTGTGAACAGGTTACCTTGTTCGGCCATTGGAGGAAAAATACCGGAAGAATTGTGGAGAGGTAAAAAGAATATCTGTATAAAATACATACGTATATTTGGTTGTCCTGTTTATGTGCATATTTCAGGCCAGGACAAGTTAGATCCTAGAGCCACCAAAGGATTTTTGCTCGGCTATACAGATGGCATCAAGGGATACCGGATCTGGAATCCCTTGACTCATAGAGTGATTCATTCTCGACATGTTACATTTGATGAATCTCCTATGTTGAAGTCCGCCATGGACTCTCAATCCTCTCAAGAACCGGAAGTCACCTCTACTGTTGCTCCTAGTGCCGATGATGTGGAGACAGTAGTCAGTCCTATTGTTATGAGCTCATCTGCTCGAGATACTATTCTAGGATCACCTGAAGACGTAGAAGAAGTCATCCCACCAGTGACTCCTTCTAGTGATCCTTTGTCTACTACTGATGAAGACATTGTAAATGATGGTGGAGATCAAGATGATGAGGAAATCCCACAAGTGGCACCTACCAGACGTAGTCAGAGAACTATTCGTCCCCTTAACAGGTACGGTGATTGGGATTTTGCTAATATGAGTTTTACAGATCAGTTDGAGTTTGCATTACATGTWGGAGAAGAGGAGCYGCTTGATTTGAAGGAAGCATTGGYTTCAACCCACAGTTCCAAATGGYTGTMTGCCATGCAAGAAGAGATGGAAGCTCTTTCAAAGAACAAGACTTGGGAACTTTGTTCACTACCGAAAGATAGTCGGGCAATCGGGTGCAAGTGGGTGTACAAGGTCAAAGATGATGATCGTTACAAGGCTCGTCTCGTTGCTAAAGGCTTTGCTCAACGGAAAGGTATCGAGTATGACGATATCTTTGCTCCTGTTGTTCGACATACATCTATTAGAGTTCTTTTAGCAATCGTGGCTATTCACGATTTGGAGCTAGAACAATTAGATGTGAAGACCGCCTTCCTACACGGAGACTTGGAGGAAACCATTTATATGAAGCAACCCGATGGTTTTGTTTCCGAAAGCAAACCGGAGTATGTTTGTAAGCTCACAAAGTCCCTTTACGGACTGAAACAATCGCCTCGTCAATGGTATAAGAAGTTTGATTTGTTTATGCTAACCCTTGGTTTTGAGCGCAGTGAAAAAGATGCTTGTGTCTATCATAGACAAAGCAGTGGCATTTTCACTTACTTACTTCTTTATGTAGATGACATGYTTATTGCCTGCAAGGACCGGTCAAAGATCGAACGACTAAAAGATAAATTAAAGTCRGAATTTGAAATGAAAGATCTTGGCGCGGCGCAGAAGATTTTGGGCATGGAAATCGTACGGGACAGAAATTCCCGGACACTCAGGTTAACACAACGAGCATATATTCAGAAAATYCTGAAGCGGTTCAATCTTGATGGTGCCAAGACGTCTAGCACTCCGCTACCAAAGCACATCAAGATCACAAGCGAAGATTGTCCGAAGAATGACAAGGGAAAGGCCGAAATGTCAAAGGTTCCATACGCCAGTGCGGTCGGAAGTCTTATGTACGTCATGGTGTGTACTCGTCCCGATCTCGCACATTGTGTCGGAGTGGTGAGTCGGTTTCTCGCGAATCCAGGTCGATCACATTGGTCAGCCGTTAAAATGGCATTCCGATAATTTGAAGGGAACCGAGACACATGGTCTTATATTTGGTTTGCACAATGACTGTGAAATTGTTGGATTTTGTGATTCTGACTATGCAGGTGATCGAGTAAGTTGGAGATCCACATCCGGTTATGTATTTACTTTGGGTGGAAYAGCCGTTAGTTGGAGATCAYGATTACAGTCTATTGTGGCATTGTCAACCACAGAAGCCGAACTTGTTGCGGCGGTCGAGTCTGCAAAGGAAGCAGTCCATTTAAAAGAATTGATGAATGGATTAGGCTTCGAGCAACCTTCCGTTCGCATTTTCTGTGATAATCAGAGTGMCATCCATTTGGCAACTAATTTGGCTTTCAGTTCCCGGACAAAGCACATAAATGTGCGTGATGCATATCTTGTTAGATTACATGAAGCGAAGGTCGTCTATTTGAAGAAAGTCCTGACAGATGACAATGCTGCTGATATGTTCACTAAGTCGCTATCGCCAACTAAGTTTGAGCATTGCTCAAACTTAATCCAGCTCCGTTTGTGTTAGTGCCGTTAGGGCACTTTGGCAGAGAGAGGAGAAATATTACCACAGGTGACAAAACGACACCTTTGAAGGAATTMCTTTGTCAAGTGCTTTAGAGYTTTGCTTTGCTCTACTTAGTATAAGTAGATTGTGCATTCGAGGTTATTGGTTTGCTTGTAACCTTGACGGGTGATGGCCATGCCGAAGCTCGTCACGGTTGGAATGCAATTTGTTACCTCATGCCAATTTATTTATTATCTACTTGTTATGATCAACTATTGGAATAACTCGTATATGTTGGATTGGGATTCGTTTTGCTTTTTTAGGATCTCGTGCATCATGGTGGAGTGTTGTAATATAAATTTATATTACTTGTGGATGTTGCACTCATAGAAGRAAGCTTCCTCACTACTCTTACCAAGCTTCCTCACTACTCTTACCAAGCTTGTTCACTACTCATCCTCTAAAGCTTCTTCCCTACTCTTTGTTTGGTTATAAATAACCATTTGGCCCCAACATATTTATATATCCCTTGGTTTTCTATCTTCCTCTAGATACAACACTCTCTAGCTAGTATATCATATATGTGTGAGATACGAGAGTGTTCTTGAAGTTCTTGAAGGAAGACTTGCTAGTTGATTGTGGATTTAAAGATCCTTGTACAAGCACTTTGTAATCTTCTTGGTGGTAATAATATTCTTGCTCTCTCTCTCTTTGGTGGACGTACACTATCACACCGATAGTGGAACCACGTTAAATTCTTGTGTTGTTATTGTAAATTTGTCATTTACATAGATAATAACATATATTGTTATTATCTATATTTGGGTTATTTTCGATAGAGTCATTGTGCAACATCTAGATCATTGTTATYCGCATTWGTTGTCGGGTTTGTTGTGTCCTTGGATTTCTATTTCGTTTCGGGACCTTAGAAATCAATTGTTATCATTACTTTTGTGACACACATTTCCTTACAAGTTTTACTTGTTTAGGGGGCCCTCAATGTTATATCAAAACTTGTAGAAGATTATTCTTACCGGATTAATGTAATTGGTTTTATGTTGTATTGCCGTTTGTTTTATGTATAGATAAATTTTTCATGATCAATAAATAACTTTTGAACGTATCTTAAGAAGTGTGAAATTGAAAGATAAAAGCCAATATATTTCATTTATATTTATGTAATAAAATTATAGATTGCTTCTCGTCAAGAATATTTCATCATTTATGATGGTGATGGTTTTTATCTGGATTCTAGTAACTATTGTGGGTTTAAGAGGCATATTTCAGCAATCATTTACTTGCTCTAAGTAGCTTAAAATTAATAACGTACAAAAAGTATGAACCGAGAATATGAAAAGAAATGAGAAAGAATTATGGATGGGAGTCAATCCCCATGCAAGAGAGATAACAATTGAAATCCAAAAGGGGGTTGGGAACTTCCAGTTGAAATCTAACTTGTCTGTCCCACCTGCAAATATCTAGTTACACATACAACACACACGAATAACAATCTCATCCAATGCCATTCCTTCCTTCAGTCTATATCTGGTTAAGGAAAGCTGTCAACCCTAACCCCCTCTTGAACAAAATCCAACCAAACACCTTCTCACTTTCCCACACCACAGTACTCTTGTCCACATTTGCATTTGCTCTGCAGCTCATACTCGCACCACAATCTCTCAAAACCTACATTAGGATTTGCAGAATACCCTAAAACAGAAATTAAATGAAAAAGAAGATTTTTTTTTTTTGAAAAAAGATTAATTTAGAACCCATCTTGATGATATCGATTGACGGGGGATGGTGACATGTCTCTACCCCCACCACTTCCTCCACCAAGTGGGAAGCTTTGTCCGACAGGTGCACCAATGCATGTGTAGTTCGTAGTACTATCGGGTGGTGGTGCAGTGTTGCCATTGCTGCTCTGGAGGCTGAATGGTTGGTTGCTGGAGAAGACATGTCCTACAAAGTAGTCATGTGAGGGTGGATACTGTGACGAGTACGGGATGTTGAGGCGAGATGCTGGGGAAGTGTACATATGTGGAGCTGCAGGTTGTGACGGCGCTGGAGGTAAAATGGTGCTGGAATTGCCGGAGAAGAGTCTTGTAGGATAAACTGTGTTGCAACCTGCTTGATGATGATGAAACCCTCCTTGTGCCACTGGTTGTCCACTACATTAGGATATCAATATATACATATATTTAGATACAAGAAATATATACATACATTGGACATCATTATTCTATGACCTCTATGCTTTGTGTGCTCTTGATCAAGGGGATTGATATTATCATTAATAACAAATGGTTGATTTATTAGAAATATTCTAGGAGTTATACTATTATTTTAATCTGGGAGAGAAATTTTTTGAATGGGCAACTGATGTGTGGTCAACATATTAACAGCCAAGAGACTGAAGCCATTACCACAACTTCGCACCCTGAAAACTTAACACATCATAATTCAAGATGATCATTTTGGGGAACAAAATAAAAGATACAAAGTTCTCAAGGAAATGAACTTAAGAAGAGGGTTAGAGGCACCAGTTCCTCAAACAAATAAAGAAACTTAATTTATAATCTGTAAGAAAATGAAAATATATAAATGAAGTAATTAAAAAACAAACAAAAATAGAAAGATGAGAAAGGAAGTAACATACCCTAGTTGGTGAGGGAGCTGGGGTAGGAGGTTATCGTTACTGAAAACCAGCTGACGAGCTCGATTTAGTGTCTCTGTCTCCCTCTCTGAGACCACCTCCATATCGTTAGGTATTATTATTTTTCAAGAAATATTACATATACATGCTGGAATCCGTCGGATTGAAGGATCGAATCTAATTTGAGGTAAAGTATGAAAGGTTCGCAATAACAAAAATAAGTAGATTAACCACCATATTGCCAACAAATTTCAGCACAATAAAATAGTAAAGAGTATAATTCGTCACTGATAGGGTGAAACTTAAAGACAAAAAATTGACAAGACAACGCTTCATGGCAAATCATTAGCAAAGTTCATGACTAGCTCCACCTTACCTTTTTTCACACTGTGTGTGTGTGTGTGTGAGAGAGAGAGAGAGGGTTTGGATATACCTTGGCGATGGCGGTTCATGTGTCCCCCAAGGGCTTGAGACTTGCAGAACTTGAGGGAGCAAAACCTACACTCGTAGACCTTTGCACTTTCATCCTTTGCGCCGTTTTTCTTTTTCCTGTAGATACCTAGATATCATCACCAACAGAAAAACCATTTCAATTAATTCAAAAGCAACATTGATGGGACTTCTCATGTGTTCATTATTTCTTCAAATGGGAGTATACTGTTACTCCTAGTATACACTGAAATTAAAACACCAACCGTAGGTCTCCATCCAAATGATCATAAGGGTTACGGTGATCCTTGAAATATGTTTATTTAAATATCTTTACACAAGTTCTTTTAAATCACATATCATAAAAATCAAATTGCTTTTTAATCGATCAGTTTTTGTAAGTAAGTTATGTGATATTTAGATTTATGCCAAAATGTGCTATGAATGATATAAAACTAATCAAAATCCCACATAAATCTTCTAGGGTTTGCATTTGAAATCAATCCCAACTCAAAGAATCTAAGAAATTGGTACACTATTTCATTCTTTTTTGGGAAAGGAGAAACTGAAATCAAAATTTGAATTTTCATTATCAGTGTCGTAAGAGGAGTAGAGCATGAGAGAGTACCAGATGCAGAAGAAGAGGAGTCATCAAGTGGTTGTTTGCCGTGATCTCTGGTGAAATCATCCGGAAAATTGTTGAGATCCAATGGGTTTCTCCTGAAAACCAAGGAAACATGAGAAAAAGAGATAAAGAGTTATAGAGTAAGTGAAGACGGAACAAGAAAGAGAGTGATAGCTGAGAGAGAGAGAGAGAGAGAGAGAGAGAGAGAGAATTAAAGGAGACAGGAGCTTTGAAGGAAAAGGGGTTGTGGGGTGAAGCCTATGATACATACATGTTGGTACCACCGACAGAGAAAGAAAGAAGTTTGTGTAACTTTGAGAGAAGTATCAAACTACAACTATAGCACAAAAACAATCTTCAGATGAGGGTGGGGTTGTTATGGGTTGGATGTGGGAGAGAGATAACTGAAGCGATGGAAATTTATAAAAGATCACGTCAGTTTATGACTGAAATTTTGAAAGGCTCTCCCACCCCCCAAACCCCCCCTTTGAAAGTTCTCTATCAGTGCTTCTGCCACTCCCTCTTCAGACCTCTTTCTCTCGAAATAGAAAAAGTGACAGTGGTTCTCGTGACTTAAAAAGGGGCAGTGAAGAGCTGATGGTGGTGTGGGACTGTTGTGTTTAAGTTGTGGTAGGACGTGGGAGGACTACATGAGACGGAATTTGTGGCTATCTCCGTTTATCTTCAATTACTAGTTCCAATATCTTCAAACATGATATCATGTGAAGATCCCCCCTCCCTCCCTTTTTAGATTTATTGTATGTCGGGTGTCTTCCAACACAAATGCTATCATTTTCTAAAGACACATGTACCTGACCAAATTTCATAACACTTCAACTAAATATCTATTTTCAACACTTAATTGCTTTTACTTTTTCGCATATATGATGAAACCATTTAATTTTAAGAAATAAATATCGGAATATTTTTCACAACATCATAATTAATTTGTTGGTTAGGTCATTGCTTTTCATATATGAGGTCTTGTATTCTGAAATTATAAGTTAGAAACTAAAAAAACGACATTAACATGATTCGAACTCATGTCCGGGATGAAAGAAAAATCTTGCAAACCAACTCTACTAAGGAAAACTCATGTCCTTACTATACTTTCAAATATATATATGGTGGCACACAACAAATGGATATGGTTGCACACTTGACGAACCTAAAAAATTTACACTACGACGGAGGAATGAAATGATCCCACGTGCCACTGTAACCACAAAACTAGGTCGTCCCTGCTTGATCTAAAAACAAACTCAAATACGCAACCTTGTAACTCGACGCCTAAGATCTTGTAGCTCTCAAGATCAATGAGTTTCTATTAACTACATGATTCTAGATTTATTAAAAGATGTGTAATGAGTTTAGCTATATGTACGTTGAGAAGCTTAAATACGACAATTTTCTTCTAAAATTTTATTTACTGTGAAACTATTACATTATTAAACAAATATATATGAAACAATATCTTAAATCCTAACATTTGATGGAAAAAATCATGTAACAAATTATTTCTAAATCGGTTCTCATAGGCTTTATAACCCTGTTGTAGTTCTCATTTGATTTAATCCATATGTGTGTGTGTGTGTGTGTATAGCCGGGTTACGTTACAAACCGCCCAATTCATGAAAACTATGCAAACATTTTCAACCAATAGGAAAATTTCATTTTTTTATCTTTAATTTTAATAAGTAAGGGTATAATGGTCTTTTGATTGTATACTGATTAATATTGGAAAGTAATATGGAAACGTAATAATAGAAACATTTAATATAGAAGGTCGTAAATCAATTTTTCTTAATATAAATTTTTTACCATTAATAGTTTATATTATTTTATTAAATTATACTTATTAAAATGTAGATTGTAAAAGCACTACAATATGAAATCTGATTTCGTTTCATTGAAAAACTATATGTAGTTTGAGTAATGAAACGAATGTCATGGTCAATAGTGACCATGAATACAATTTCACTGATGAATTTAATTTATTAATATTTCAAAACGTTTTATACATAAAAAAGTTTCACTTAAGAAAATAAAGTATTCAGTTTTCAAAATGTTTCATTCAATTTTCAAAAATGTTTCATTCTTTATATGTTTCATCGTTTATTATGATATCTCTTGTTTTAAAATTAGTTTGATTAGAAATTATTAAGAATCCAATCTCACTTCAATAACCGTTAATGAAATAGTTTCATAATCGTGAGTTCATAACATAAACGGTGAAACAGTTTCGTTCATTCATTTAATGAAACAAAATATTTTCTTTAGTGTTCAAAAGGTTTCATTATTTTTTGTCGATTAAAATATGCTTTTATGTTTCATAATTTATTAGGATATACCTAGTTCCATTGCTCCTTACTTGGTAATATTTTTAATTTGGATGTTATTTTATTTATAATATTTAGTCATAAAATGGAGATAATTTTTATCAAACATATAATTTGTCAGGTTATTCTAACATTTTTCATTAAAATCTTTGTAATGATGAAATGATATATAAAGATTTTAAAATAATGATTTTGTTTCATTAATGTTAGGATATCTACGATCTTGTTACCTTGTTTACAAAATCATACAAATTAAAATTTTGACAAATTGCCCTTTTGTTAATTAAAAATTAAACTTTTATTTTTATTTTCTTTTTTATTTCCTAATATAAACACATTTAATCTTGATTATTGATCAAGAAAATTGATGGATGAGATTGGTTTGTAAGGTTTTCATAAATGTGGGTGATTTGCAATTGATCGCTCATATATATATATATATATATATATATATATATATATATATATATAACTTGGGATCATGTGAAACCAAGGGTTTTTCATGAGACCCGTAAGACCAATTCTCAATCCTTGGATTAGATCTACAATCTGACAATCTAAACATTCATAAACGTCACGAGACTTCTCAATAATCACAAAATTGTCACCGTGCAACTTTAGACAATTAGATCATTAGCTTATAAAGTTGATCAATGAATATAAACTGGTCTCACGAAAAACCTTTAGTATCACGTGAACCCAATCATATATATATATACATACATATATATATATATATATATATATATATATATAGGGAAGGGTTCAAACGAGAATTCCTGTGATTTACGAGAACGCAAGAACAACCCAATAACCTCATATTGTGATAAAAAATAAAATTAAAAGATTTTTAAAATTTAAATTTAAA